TGTGCGGCCAAGACCAAGGTTGCTAGAGTCAGTGGATCAGGATAACTTTGATCCGTTGCCCATTGGCGAGACTGGAGAGCATTCCCTAATTTCCATTCCCTTTCAGGTGTGCTTCTTTCTTTTTAGTTGAGGAACTGTCAACTCGACTTTTTTGGATTTTAATTCTTGTTTCTGAGCAGGGCGAACATAAGTATCTGGTTATTCTGCCGTATATTCAGTTTTTACTTTTAACCATCAATTCCCTTCCTGTTTGAATAACTTTTGAGATAGTTGCTTCTCAAACATGCGCTGTCTATCACAGCTCAAGTATAATAAATTGGTATTAAAGTAAGAGCGACAAAGATAAAATCCCCATACTTCTTTTGGGTGAGGGTATGTTCCCATTCGCTATCGTCCTATAATGAAGTGGTAGCATCTATTATGTACTTAACTTATTCTCATATCTGCGATAGCCAGTGATACCATGTTTAACTTCTTTATTAAATCTATGTTGATAAACTTTAAGTCATCATATACTTATGAACAAGAATAGATTTTTATGTCTTATCTATTAGTAATTTCATTTATATTGCTTTGTTTCCTTGTAAATATATGTGCATTTTTTGGGTAGGTTTTAAGCTGGTTCCCACGTGCATTATACTTTCCCAATTTTGCATCTATAGAACAATGCCAAAGCATAATTAAGATGGCAAAGGCAAATCTGGAACCATCATCCTTGGCTCTTCGCACAGGAGAAACAGAAGAGACCACCAAAGGAATTAGAACAAGGTATATACTACTCAATAACCCTCATATTTGTCAACTAATTTCTATTCGGGAACCTTTCTTTCAATGTTGAACATTAACTCCAAGAATTGTATTTAAGTCAATACACTGTCTTAATTTTTGTGTAGTCCTTTATTTATTAGTTAGGTTATTGTTTCCAAAAAACAAATATCGCAGATTTAACCGGTAATCAATTTAAACATGTTTTTCCCTCCCATTTTTGCTAAACTAGGTCGCTGAAAATATGGTGTGTGCATATATTATCTTATTTTGGAAGATAAAGCGAATTCATGATTTTCAAACTACATTTTTTTTTTTTGAATGACTTTCTCTAATTACTTGTGATTTGCTTCTAAAAAATAAGTTATGATAGAACTTTGTACTTCATGTGTCAGTATCTTTGACAAGAAACTACAGATCGTGGCATGAGATTTACATTACCTTGTCAATTTCTCCAGTTCTGGCACGTTTATTAGTGCATCTGAAGACAAAACTGGAATCTTGGATCTAATTGAAGAGAAAATTGCAAAGGCGACAATGATCCCCAAGACACATGGAGAGGTAATGTTCACTAACATGTTTATCCTAAATAAAATGCATTATGCTCTTTTCACCAAATGTCAACTTTGGTTTTGCTTCCATGACTTAGATACTAAAGATCTGGTTAAAAATCCCTACTCCAACCTATCTTGTACAGTTTTATTTCCTTCAAAATGAAGCTGATTGTACCTGAACAAATCCAAGTTCTACCCTCTACATGTTGGTACTTCGCCTATCCTTGTTTAGTCAGCCTCATATCTTAGTTTTAGTATCGGAAAAAGAAGATGATCACTATTTTGAAACTGCTTAGACATCTTATTGAAAATTATAGTTTCAACTACCATTTATATCTAGTTTGATTGACATGGAGTAATTGTGTGGAGTTCAAAATCTAATATTTTAATGAGAAGTATACCAAGAAACGGATCAAAATGTTAATTTCTGACAGCTTTGAGAATTTACAAGAAGAAGTTGGCCCAAATGTAGCTTTTGAGGTAATTTAATCCAATGTTTTAAAGTGAGTAATATGAAAGAGAACTATCTTCCATTTGATGATAGTGGACTATAATCTATGCTACACTAAGAAGAATTACCTCTCTTTTCATGTTGATATGGAGTACTATAGCCTTTGTAAACTCAAAATAATTCTCACTGAAACACTGATTCGTCATGTTAATCTGAGAAGTCATATCTTCATTGGCTATTAAGTTACAGACGGTGGTGAAGTAATACAAGAGTTCTGAATGGTAATGCAAAGACACTCAGATTCCAGTTCATCGAATTTTCCAGGCGCTTTCTGAGACCATTTTATTTGGAAATAGCTAGGATGCAAGAGATAATGGTATAGAGTATGTGATCTTGGGTCACATTTTATGGTTCTGTGTTTCTTCTTCCCTCATTACCCAAAAGAAATTGGATTTTTCTCTGTTGCAAATGGAGTATATGAACCAAGGGTTCAACTGAACCAAATAGTTTCAAAAGTCTAATGGGTTCAGTAGTTAAAACATGAAGGTTGAAACCGTGAAACTCAAAAGTTAAATCCTGGATCGACCTACTGCTTTCTTGGATTTTTATCTTCTTTTAGTCTTGTGTACTGGAAAAACTGTTTTTAGTGACGCTTGTTTATGAACGAATGTGCATGTGGTAATGACGAAAATATATGTTGTACCAATTTATCATCATGAGATGTGTCCTTGTGGCCAATGAAGTGGGTTGAGAACCATGAGGTCCCAGCTTCAAATTCTAGCGGAGACAAAAACACTAGGTGATTGCCTCCCATCTGTCCTAGCCTTGGTGGACAGAGTAACCTGGTATCTGTTGCTGGTGGAAGGTAGCAGGTATCCCGTGGAATTAGTCGAAGTGCATGCAAGCTGGCCTCGACATCACTTATCAAAAAAAAGAAGTCATAAAGAGGAGATGATGCCTCTTTCTTTGTCAATATTCACCTCATACTGATATATAAATGTTGGAAGAAACTTCTAAACAAATTTCGTTCTGGATGTAAGTGCAGAATCTGAATGTTTACTGGATTGTTAGTTAGAGGTCACATATGTGGGCCAGCTCATTTAATTTACGGAAATGGCTAGTCATAGTGCTCAAATTGATGGAACTTTTTCCCCTCCCTTAGTGTTGTTTGGCATGTCTTCAGTTGTAAATGAAATAGTCAAGCAAGGTTATAGCTCTCTCATAATGGTGTGGATACACACCTCTTCTAACAGATTCTTTTTCAGAGGACAAAACCATGAGGCAATGGGTCAAGATGTCCAGTTCTAAGAGATAAATTTACGACAATTTTTGTTGTGTGCCTTAATTTTTAGTGAGGCAAATCTACATTTTGGTTAACATCTGAAACTGCCTGTTGGGAAGTATTTGTGCTGATTTTTCAGAATACTTCGGTCTATTTACCCACTGGATTTTGAGTTACAATGTAACCATGCATATAACGCATGTGTCAATTGACAGCTGGTCAAGCTGCTAACTTGATGATTGTAGGTTAAATGAACATTGGTGTGTATCTGAAGTCTGAACTTTCTGTTTATCGCTCTTACTGATTTTGAATGATTCTCTTCTTCAGTGATAAATATGATGTTCCTCTGGTCATTTCAGGCATTTAATGTTTTGCGGTATGAAATTGGCCAGAGATATCAGTCACATTATGATGCTTTTGATCCTGCTCAATATGGCCCTCAGAAGAGCCAAAGAGTAAGCATGAACTAAATTTTCAGTGGTGCTATTTTTTCTAAGTTGCTCGCTATATTTCCTGTATCTCAATTGAAATCTTACACAAGAGGACATTGTGGATTATAGAATACATTATTGTTTGGTTATCCGGGCATAAGGATGCTGTGCTTCCATGTTACTCCCAAACACCTCCCCCTCCCCATAACCACAAATTAATTAGAAGAAAGAAGTTTGATGTGTTTGATTCAAGTATTGGGTTCTTATTTATATGGCACATGCTATTTGCATCACCCAAACTGCAGATGATGGTCCTCTGCAGTACTTTACTGAACTCTCTTGAGCATGTTAATGTTAGATGAGAAAATTGCAAACAAGATACATCTTTATCTCAGATTGGACAAGTATTTCCCAAAGGGCAGTCCTTCTTGTCAGATATTCATTTTCATTGAGTATCTTTTTAGTATATTTTGCAAGAAAAAGTATTAAAAGAAATGATTTGCATGCTTTTAAGTCATGTAAACCACCATTATTTGTACAATTTAAATCACTTCTAATGGTAGATAATTTCTCTTCAATCTGATTATAGTTTTAGCATGAACCAAGGTGAGGATGATTGTTTTGGTGGCTTCTTATCTTGCCATGGATGTGACATCCTCTATATGCATTTTTCTTCTTTTCTTTGTGGAAAGATTCTGATCTTCTCTTCGATCCTTGGAACCATGAGGTGAAATGTGCCAAGCAAGTTTACAGGATCTGTACTACACTTTTAATCTTGAGATATCATTGGTCGAGAATTTGTTACTGGTAGTTAATTTTGAGGAATGATTACTTTCACTTGTCTGGACTAAACTTTCATTGATCTCGTCTAGGCGGCTTCCTTCTTATTATATTTATCTGATGTTGAAGAAGGTGGGGAAACTGTGTTCCCGTATGAGGTAAGATCAAGTACCTCTCCACTCTCTTTTGCTCTCTATTTCTACCCATCACCACCTTTCTTGTCTGCCTGGCTTGTAAAATGGTCCTTTGTGTTTATCTACAGAGCGGGCAGAACATGGATGCTAATTATGATTTTAGCAAGTGTATTGGTTTGAAAGTGAAGCCACGCAGAGGGGATGGACTTCTATTCTACTCACTGTTTCCAAATGGTACAATTGATCTGGTGAGTTATTCTAGTTAATTCGGTTACCTTGCATTTTGTGGTTTGTTCATCACAATGTTTTTTGGTATAAGAATCAATAGTATATAAACAGGAGTAATCAGTCAGTTAACAAATTGTTTCAAGGAGCTGATCTGCAATAGGTTAGCTGGAGTACAAGGCAAACTCCGTGCCATCTGTAGCTGCTAGATTGGAGATCTGCCACAATATATAATCCCAGATTAAAAGCTGTGATTCTCGCATAGTGGTTTAATTTCACGTATCAAACTACCCCTGGACGTGACTGACACCCAGCTAACACCACTCGCCAGGCGAACCAATTCCTGTACTCTTAACCTTTTATATAAGCACCGAGAGAAACACGTACAAGTCCAAATGCATTAAGTATCACTAAATACGAAGTAATTATCCAACTAAAACCATAATTTATTTATAAATTCTAACGAGCACTCAAACAATGAATCTCTAACCCAAATTTCATACTAAGACCATGAAGCATCTAACAGAGTAATAGAAGTTTGACTGACGGGCATGCAAACTCGAAAGAAATAATAAACATAAGATAGGTAGAGCTGAAATAGCGGCCTCCACGAACAATGAGGTGGCTCACCTCAGCAACAGAATCCACTCAACGAACTCGTTAGCCACTAGCCTCATCCTCAGCAACAGTATGTGCATAGACATGCAGGTAAGGAGTGAGTTATACGTAAATATAACCTAGTAAGATCCTTGACCCGTCGCTCTGAATACCTCTGGAACAAGTGTTAGAAAAGACAAACACACAATGAGCACCCAAATAATATGCACAGAAATTCTTTTATCATATAATTACTCTATAAGGTCCAAACAATTTTTCAACAGCAATACTATATATATCTCAACACAATCTACACTAAGGACTTGTCATTAACGGCAGTGTAGGAAATTAACCAAACACCCCAACGAGTCCACGACAGCATGCACAATGCCCCAAATTTATCACGGCGGCATACACAATGCCCCAAATATATAACGGCGGCATACACAATGCCCCAAATCTATCACAGCGGCATATACAATGCCTCAAACATATAGCGGCGACATACACAATACCCCGAATCTATCACGACGGCATACACAATGCCCCAAATATATAGCAGCAGCATACACAATGCCCCAAATATATTACGGCCGCGAAGAAATAATTTCTAACGCTCCAACGCCATAGCACGAGGCTACGCCACATCACACTACACCACAAATCACTAATTAAATAATTTCAGCCTTTTACAAAATAATATATATTTGCGGCTGGCCAAGGACCACCGATTGTGCCAAGCGCACGCTCGTCCCAACACATGGACCAGGCAGAGGAAAAAATATACTTTCAAAACGGGTTTTAGAAAAGCAAGTATCAAAGCTTAAAGTCTCACTTACCTCGCTATTGGGAGTTTCCCACCCTTGTAACGTCTAGTACACCAACCAAACAGCCTCCAATGACCTCAATCTATCCAAAATATTGAATAACACACCCTAATTAATCTAAGTGAATAATTTTCATAATCTTAGAACGAGTCAAAGTTAAAGGTAACCCCGAGTCCAATAAATAAAATCTATACACTATTAAGTATTAAACAAAGCACTTTAACAGTGCAAAGCAAATCGGCACAACAATGACTTCAGAAACATCACATTAACTTATACTCCAGTTCTTCAAAATATTAATAACTAGTTTACTTGCCCGCGCTTTGCGCGGTCATAAAAAGTATTTAATATGAAACAATAGTAATGTTATAATATTCAAATATAATTTTTTGTTTGAGAAAGAGTATGTGAGATATCAGGTTAAATGAAAAAACTATGTAAATCAGGATATGTGAACTTGAATAAGAAAAAAAATAATGTATCCTCTATTCCTTTTTCTCCTATTTCTTTTCAACCTAGTCTATTGATCTCAGTCCATCACAACATATTGCATTAAAACTGTAGTCGGCTTCTTCTTCAAAACCAAATGTAGACCTCTCCAACCAGCTTTGTTTCACACCATTCGAATACCCATAAACATAAGAAGAACACAACCGCCATTTATGAGGATGCTTTATGGCCAGTCTTCCGCTACATTACGTGTCGCAATAGGACTGTATCTATTGAGATGCTTTATACTCTAGTTTCAAGTGTTTAAATCGTGTCAAAAACTGTTATCAGGGAGAGAAAAAAGTGTACTTGAACAATGTTTTGCTCAGTAGAACTTCCTTGGGCATCTAGTCAACCGACGCATTTTCGGGCGTTTTAATACAGGGAAATATTCTTTAATCTAATAGACTTCCGAACTTTCAAACAAATTGCAAAATGGAAACGACTCTATTGGACTTTACTAATGAAAGAAAACGGCTGATTGTTTAATTTTAATTTTTTTATTTATTCAAATTAAAAAAACTAAATAAAAAAAGGATGAGGTGAGTGGACAGAAAATGAGGAAAAAAACAGAGAATCTAAACACACTTAAATATTAGTATAACCAACATTGTTAGCATATTAGCGAATTTAAAAAATTATTTATTAGCATGCCAAAAATAAAAATATAGATAAAAGAAATTTCTATGAAAAAGAAGATGTGCAGAATATGCCAGAATCTAAAGAATTAACTCATTCTGAATAAGCTATTCATTCCTGGCAAGAATATGTACATTAACAAATGAAGCAAATCTGCAGAAGCTGATCGGCTTAGATCTCTGAGAAGAATACTCCTCTATCAAATATAAGTAAATTGATATATGTAATATCTTTCAATATTCTAGAATGGGAATTGTTCTAATTGATTTAGTACCTTTTATAGAGTTCCTGCCCTTCTTAGGCCAGCCAGACTATTGCAGGTCATCCTCTCTCTTTAAACTGAAGTGGAGGTTTCAATAAAACTACTGGTCCTTCTACTTTTTTATATATTGCTAGTAAGAAATTCTCAATACAAAAAATAAGGGAGGGCATAAATCTGACCTTATTAGTAGTAAAATACAAGACTAAAAAGTCCTACTTACCACCACTTTGCTACAACAAAATAGTATAAAGGCATGAAAAGAAAGAAATAAACAGCATTCCTTTACGAATGAAACGGGCATAGAAAAATCTCTTGGATAAACAAAATCTAAATCTGAAGTTCAGTAAATATCCATTACAATAATACAATTTAGATCACCCCAATTCAATTTAAGCTCAAGAAACTGGGAAAAATAAATGCCAAAAATAGATTGAACTTCATAAAGCAGAAAATTTGACTTCTTTACAACTTCAATTTTCTTCGTTTCTTCTTGAGTACCGATGGCTGCAAGAACTCAATTTTGAGACACTGCAGAACATGTCTCACCTTTCTTCCAAACCCCCTGATGCTTTGCCTTCTATCAAACATTTATCCTTTCGGAATATGAAAAGTTGGAACAATAACAGTCATTCTTGGAACCATTTTATTTCATTAATGTACTCATCGTAGTGTGGCATTTGCTTAAGTATTTGTATCATAGACAATGTATTTACTGAATAAGATCGGCATGGGAGAGCCATAAATCATCACTAAGAGCTTCTCCAGAGTAAAAACAATATGTCAAACAACAGAAAAGATAAGATCATCAATCATATCTATAGACAAGCATCAACAAAATCAGTACATCTCAAAAGAACAAATAAGTTTTAGAACTATCGTTAATTACTTTAACATAAACAGCATAAAAGACACAATAAATCAACTACTTCTTAAGTTAAATCAAATAGTTTTGTAGCAATTCTTTAAGATTATATCTTGGCAAGGAACTATTCAAAAGTGAAAGAAAATAACGAATGAAAAATCCCTACAGGCCAAAATTATAGAGAGATTAGAAAGAATGTATCACAAACGTAAAGAATACCTTGCCGAAGAATCCGTGCGTAATCAGAGATTTCCTTTCGTTATTATTTGTTTTTTCACTATAGTACCAAACAGTAAGGACATGTAGAAAACCAATGTGTTCATTCTGAAATTTTAATCTTCAAACCTATGTGTTCATTCTTGAATTTTAATCTGCAAAAGAGAAGCATATTGGTCGGTGTATGAACCGAAGCCTTTATGATTGGAAGATTATGAATGGAAGATAGGAAAATTTCAATCTACAGAAGATATCAAAATCCTTTTATGGATGGAAGATTTGGAGGTTACAAACTGGCTAGAGGAAAAAAGAAGAAGAAGAGAAGGAGGCTAATTAAGAAACATGACCTTTGAAAGGCAAAATATTAGGAAAACAGAGACGTATGATTCGTAAAGTTGGCGGCTATCAAAGAGACGTGTCATTTGGAATTTTTCAAGAACTTAAAATGAAGGGAAAATGAGGAAAAAGGCAAAAAAATAGGAAAAATAAATAAATATAATTCCTAAGTTATGAGAGGTGCATGTGGCCCTACTTTATACATATATATAAATATTATTTTCTTATGAATGCTTCCTATCACGGCATAATGAGTTATATCTCCTAATTAAAGATATGCGAAAGTAACTGAATAAGATTTTTCAAACGAACTCCTAAATTGCATCCATATATGAATATTACTAAATTATTTATGTCATCATTGACATAATCATTACCCCAGTCATTACTTAACTATTACTTCCGCTAATTGGCTAACAATTTTCTAGATAATTAAAGAAGCAGATTGTAGTATGCAAGGAAAATTAATTCTACGTTTCAGTATAATATCTGAATTCTCATATTATCTTGTTTAACTCCACTACTATTCAATTACTATCAAATTATATTGTCTTCCGTTATCATTGGCTTGCTCATGAATAGTAACACTTTTTGCTTCCAATCATTACTATGATTATTATTCTTATATAAATAATACCAATAAATAGCAAATTGAACTACAGTAGCATAGCTATGATACCTGATTCTGAAATTGTTTTCTCCGATACTATAGCCGCCGCCCGTCGTCCCTTCTCGTTACGGAAATTGCTTTGCTATATATATATAAAACTAAACCTCAATTACCTCTTTTTCTACTAAACTAAGGATATCAATAATAACCTCTAACCAGCTAGTAAGTGGTGGGCTTGGTCCACTTATTAACCGTTTAAATACTTATTAAAGTCACTTACTTCTACTTTTAAATTGTAATATATAATTGGCTTACTAGCCATTTATCTAATACACTGACTTATATATTATAGTAAATCACCTTCCCGTAGATTAGCATTTTTCCAATAGCTACAAATAAATTAATTCTCTAATCTCACAATTAATAAGTATATAAAAATATATTGGGTTTATTACATTTAAAGTGTTAGGAATTGCTAATCCTAGAAAACCCGTTGAGTTGCCCAAAAACATGTTTATGATTTAGCTCTAAATGATGATGTGGCTAAAACATGCTCAATTAATCATAAGATCGTGATGCTATGAGGATGTGTGTCTAAAAGGATTAGTATGAGTAGCTTGAGTTATTTGCATAAAGTGGTTATACAATGCAACAGGAGCCTATATTGAAAATATCAGAACAAATTTGTACAATCAGATCCATCGCATGGAAGCTGATTGGAGAGATTATAGTATATCGTAGCTTCATGACTGTTTTCATTTTCATTTGCTGCTATATTAGTTTGTTCAATGCAACAATTAGAATAGGCTCTTTGTCTTTCTTTTACTTCTTCCATTTCCAGTGATTTTAATGCACACTACATAAATTACCAAAGGAGGGCATGACCAAAACCAACACAATGTAATGATGCACTTTGATTTCAAGCATGGACTTGTTAACTTTCTAATTTTCACATTTGCTTGAATTCTAATGCAGACCTCACTTCATGGTAGCTGTCCGGTAATCAGAGGAGAAAAATGGGTGGCCACCAAGTGGATCAGGAATCAAGAACAGGATGATTAAACACCTGGTACATTGTAGTGTTGTTCATCAGTTATTTTTTGTAACTTAACAGACTGAAAAAACAAAGTTTTGGAGTAAATAGATTTAAAGAATGAACAACACGGCGCTTTGTCCAAACAAACTTGGGGCTTTGTCTTTTGGAGTAAATAGTGTAACTTGCTTGATTGCAGGCCGCTAAAATCAGCACCACACTTTGAAAGAAATGAAAAAATGAAAGCAATAAAAAAGAAGCAGATATATTTCTGGAAAATAAGATCCAATGAGTATGAAGTAACTGATGAGCTGAAAGGTAATCATAAAGAATAAGTTCTCTTTAGGCCACTTAAATTAAATTATATGGTATCCCATAATCACATTTAGGGGTGTACAAAGGAAACCAACAAACCGCATCAACCTGATAATCCGAGTCAAACCGAGAAAAAAAACCCGACTATTGGTTGGTTTGATTTGGTTTGGTGTTGAAAAAAAAAACCCGACCATAATTGGTTTGGTTTGGTTTTAACTAAGGAAAGTCAATCCGAAACTAAACCAACCTGACATTACATATATAGATATATTTAATATATAAATATACTTATTGTGATGTAATTTATAAATATTTCTTAAAAGATTTCATAATTTTTATTTTTTGAGGTATTATTTCAAGGTTGGACTTAGAACTTTTGAATGTTCCAATAAGCTTTATAGCCATTAACATTAGTAAATTAAATAGTGCTAACATGTCATGACCCGGATTTCCCACCCTCGGGAGTCGTGATGGCGCCTACTAATGTGAGCTAGGCAAGCCAATCCTTTAAACTAATTACTTCATTATCCGATTATTTCTTTTTAACAAATATAAGGCGATGACATGATAATAGCGGAAATTTAAATTTAAGCGGAAGACAATAATAAAATATCTGAAATCTATGTCTATTACAATTACTCAAGCCTTAATCACCCAAAACCTGGTGTCACAGTGTCACAGACGGTCTAAGATTTGCTACATAGAAAGTCTGAAGAAACTATCAATACACTGTTTCTGAAACGAAAAGATGAAACAGGAAATAAAAGATAGAGGAGACGCCATGGCCTGCGAACGCCGGCAAGTCTACCTTGGATCTCCGCGTGGACTGGGGGTAGCCTCCAACTACGGTCCAAGAGCTGCTCTGGGATCTGCACATAGTGCAGAGTATAGTATCAGCACAACCGACCCCATGTGCTGGTAAATGTTCAGCCTAACCTCGGCGAAGTAGTGACGAGTCTAGGACCAGACTATCAAATAAACCTGTGCAGTTCAAATATATATACAGCGGAAAAGAAATACAAAATAACCAGTCAAGTATGAGAGGGGGAGCATTATGCGGGGGAAGATATCAATTCTGAATAAAAAGACAGCAAGTAAACGAAAGAAAATAATATAACTTGGATATCAACAAAAAATCAGTAATCAATAAATGCACGACATCACCCTTTGTGCTTTTACTCTCGCCCTCACCAAAGCAATCATATAATAAAAATGTACACGGCATCACCCTTCGTGCTTTTACTCTCTTTCCTCACCATATAATCAATAAAATCGGCACGGAATGGTACATCGTGCGGCACATCATCACCCTTCGTGCTTTTACTCTCTTTCCTCACCATATAATCAATAAAATCGGCACGGAATGGTACATCGTGCGGCACATCATCACCCTTCGTGCTTTACACTCTTTCCTCGCAATCATACATGGCATCACCCTTCGTGCTTGACACTCTTTCCTCAATAAACAAACAATGCACGACATCACCTTTCGTGCTTTAACTCTCTTCCTCACCCAAACAACAATCACAAACAATAGGGCAATGGAATAAATAAAATTACAATAAAATTCCGGCAAGGGAACAACAATTCAATAATTAAATCCCGGCAAGGGAACAACATCAATAACATCAACATCCCGACAAGGGAGATAACAAATAAATCAACAATAGCCCAGCAAGGGTGACAATATAATGATCTCTTCTCTTTCTCACTTTTACTTCACTATTCACTTCACAACTCGAGCCAATGCTCTAGAGGTTCAATTATCACTTATACTTTCACAATTCGTTATATAACTTGAGCCAACGCTCCTCAATGTTCATAGGTCACAATTCCTTCCACAAACTTTATACAACAAATAGAAACCACCACTAAGGCATGAAAGATACAACGAAGTCATGATAATCACAATATAAAGACTCACGGGCATGCTAGACCCCAATGTATAGATACTCGTCACCATGCCTATACGTCATACTCAACAATTACCACATAGCAAATAGGACTCAACTCCTAATCCCTCAAGCTAAGGTTAGACCAAACACTTACCTCGATGCCACGAACACAATTCACGATTTGATTATAGCTTTACCCCTTGATTCCACCACCAAATCGATCGTATCTAGTCACAAGTTACTTAATTACATCAATAAACGCTAAATGAATCAACCCAATGCAGGAAATGAGTTTTCCAAAGTTTTGCCCAAAAAATCAAAAATCGCCCCGGGCCCACATGGTCAAAACCCGAGGTTTGAACCAAAACCCGATTACCCATTCCCCCACGAACCCAAATATATAATTTGTTTTGAAGTCAGACCTCAAATTGGGGTCCAACTCCCCAATTTTTGAAAAACCTAGGTTCTATCCAAAATACCCAATTTCCCCCATGAAAATCATTGAATTTTGAGTTGAAATCATGTTAAAATATGTTAATGATTAGAAGAAATAAGTTAAAATTAACTTACAATCGAGTTGGAAGAAGAGTTGATCTTGGAAATTCGCCCTAAGGAGTTTGTGTTTTGAAAAGATGTGAAAAATGGGTTCAAAATCGTCTAAGTATAAAAGTTGCAGGCCTCAGATATGGGAATTGCGAACAGGGGTTCGCGATTGCGAACCTCGATCTCTGCTGGCTTGGGAATTGCGAAGGAAGTTGGGAAATGCGAACTGGGAATTGCGAAGGGAGGTTGGGAAATGCGAAGCCTGCAATTCCTTAAGTCCAAAATTTCACCCCGCGACGTATCCAAAACTCACCCGAGCCCTCAGAGCTCCAAACCAAACATTCACACCACCCTAAAAACATTATACGGACTCGCTTGTGCATTTAAATCACTAAAATAACATCAACAACTATGGATTAAACCTCAAAATTAATGAAATTTTTCCAAAACTTTCTTAAACATCAAATTTTGTATTTAAGGTCCGAATCACGTCAAACAGATTCCATTTCTTATCAAACTTCATAGAATTATCTTAAATCACATATAAGACCTGTACCGGGCGCCGGAACCAAAATATGAGCCCGATACCAATATTTCTAATCAAAATTCATTTCCAAATCCTTTAAATAATTTCAGAAAATAATTTTCTTTAAAAATTCATTTCTCGGGATTGGAACCTCGGAATCCGATTCCGGACATACACCCAAGTCCCATATTTTCCTACGGACTCTCTGG